GAGGGGAAGAGGAGAAATAATAAGGAGGAAAGGAAGGCGCAGGGAGGAGAACGAGAGAGAGAGAGAGAGACAGAGAGGACAGGGAGGATGGACAGGTAACGAGTTCTCGTATCACATGCTCTTGGGCAGCCACTTCGTGCTGAATTGTTGCCTCGAGCCCGAGAGCCACGAGATTTTCCCCTTCGTGTTGTGCTCCGCCAACCGACGCGGTGCTTCGGACCACCTCAGGTCGGTCCGCATTCCAGACGTCTGCCCGAGGATGGGAAGGGTTCAAAACCATAATGTGCACCACCTCCGTCGCCGTTTTCCCCCCTCGCCCTTCCTTCAAACCTCCCCCTCTTCTCATCATCGTCGTCGTCGTCGTCCTCTCCCTCTGCCTCCTCTGCTTCGCCTCCTCTTCCACTTCCTCCTCCTCCTCCTCCTCCTCCTCGGCAGCGTCGACAAGACATCTGGTGGCTCGCTTCGCTTCGCACCGTCCTCCTCCTCCTCTCCTCTGCGCGCTGTTTGCTGTCATGTGCTCTGAGGTCCGCCGCGGGCTTCCGTGGGAGACCCGACTTCATCCTCGTCCTGGCCTCGTCTTACAGCCAACCCAACCCGCATAGGAAGGATGAGCAGCCTTCCAGGGCTGCCCCTGCATGCTGGCCGTATTCGGGCCATCCTCGGGGACCTTCGCTGGGCAGCCAGCCCGGTTCGGCAAGCGCCAGCGTGGCCCTCCCCGAGGCCCTCGCGTCCTTCCCGCCGCGCATCCCTGCTGCACGGGTTGACTGCACCTCCTGTCCCTTCGGGCTTCGGGCTTCGGGCTCTCCACCTCCTGTGCTCCTCGTGCTGTGCCTGAGCCGAGTTGGCTACTCCCGGGGGAGGAGGGGGAGGAGGAGGAGGAGGAGGAGGAGGAGGAGGAGGAGGAGGAGGAGGAGGAGGAGGAGGAGAGGAGGAGGAGGAGGAGGGGAGGAGGAGGAGGGGGAGGGGGAGGGGGAGGAGAGGAGAAGGAGAAGGAGGAGGAGAGGAGGCGGAGGAGGAGGAGGAGGAGGAGATGCGGAGGAGGAGGAGGAGGAGGAGGAGGAGGAGGAGTGCTCCTCGTCTGGTGTATCTCAGCGCGTCCTTCGGGGCTCTCCTGCCGCGCCCCTCTGGCCCGCCCGCGCCCGGCAGAGCGCAGGACGGCCCCAGCGCAGGCTCGCCCGTACAGCTGGCACGGGGCGTCAGGGCAGGCCCAGCTCTGGCGGGGTGCCCTTCTGGGCGCGGTAGAAGCCATCGATCCAAGGAGCCTCGAGCGATCGATGCTCGACCCTCGAAAGGTCGCTCCCCGCACGAACGATCCTGCCCTCGAGCGATCCACGCTCGATCCTCGAGCGGTCCATCCTCGAGCGATCGCTCCTCGAACGATCGGCGGTGCCGCCGGAGCCGCGCCAGAGCGCGAGGCTCGGAGCAACACAGGCATGACTGCGAAGGCCGTGCGGCCGGAGGGGATCAAAGGGAAGAGGCTTCCCTTCGACTCGATTGCGACACCGCTACATTGCTGAGGCCTTACCGCCGGTTCCGCCGATCCTGGAGGCCTCGGCCTTCGACGGAACTGGGAGGGAGAGGGCGGGCCATGGGCCCCGGGAGGGTGGTATTCTGACCCGGGACCACCCCCCGGGGCCGCACACCCCAGGACCCCCCCCCACACGCGGGGAAGGGATCAAGGGGAAGGGGCTTCCCTTCGATCCAATGACCACGTTCAAAAGGGAAGGGGCGTCCCTCCGACTCGATTACGACGCTGCTAGATCTTTCTCGCGCTGGCAAAGGTGGAGGAGGAGGTCGCAGGGAGAGGGGACGACGGAGACAACGACCGACGGAGACGACGACTCCAACAGACAAGCCCCTCACACACGCCGACAGGGTCCACAGGGTCGGCGGATTTCTCGAGGCTCCGCGGGGCTTGCTCGGATCGGCACGGGGCTCCCTCGGCGGCCGGCGCCTCTGGCGCCGCCGCCGGTCGGGGCTCAAGAAGGGACGGGGTCCATGCAGACGGGGGTCAGCCAGGGCGCCGGATCTTGCAGGATCCTGCAGCTGCCAGGGGTCTCGACGAGGCGTCAGAGGGACCCTCCGCCTGCGTGACCTTCGGTGCGGGCTCACCGGGGTCCCCCCCCGAAAGCTGTGCGCGGTGCAGCAGGGGCCGCTTGCGCGCTCGGATCCGGCCACCTTGCGCCCCCGTAGTCCGCGCACTGGCTGCCACTCTTGCCTATAGGGTCACTCTTGCGTGTGGCCGAGGGGTCCGCCGACCCGCCCCCCGGTGGCGCCTCCAGCGCCGCCCCTGGCGGGGAGGGGGGGGTCCGGCGCAGATGCACGAAATCCGCGCGGAGCGCCGAAACTTTCTGCTCGTGGCGCTGTTCCTCCTTCGAGAGCCCCGAGTTCTGGATCCGCGGAGCGGGCACGGCGTAACGGCTCAGGCGTCCAGCGTCAGGGAGGGGGCGCACTCTTCGAGCGAGGGCCTCGAGCCGGTACCCTGCGCGTGCCGGGGGAGGAGGAGGAGGAGGAGGAGGAGGAGGAGGAGGAGGAGGAGGAGGAGGACGAGGAGGAGGAGGAGGAGGAGGAGGAGGAGGCGGAGGAGGAGGAGGAGGAGGAGGAGGGAGGAGGAGGAGGAGGAGGAGGAGGAGGAGGAGGAGAAGGAGGAGGAGGACGCCCCTGTGGCGAGGCCCCGCCTCGAATCTCGGAGGGCGCGGGGAGAGTGGCCTCCTGGGTGGCCCCTCCGAGAGGCCCGTCTGCCTGCCGAGGGGGCCTCGCCCCCCCCCGGCCTTGTCCTGCCGCCTGCTGCTGCAGCCCAGGTGGATGCGAGCTCGGAGCACGCGACAGCGACGCAAAATCCAGCAGGGCCGGACCTAAACGGTGTTTTTGGGCGATTTCGTGGGCCGTTTTCGTTTCGACTTCGGTTTGAGGTAGGGGCGGACTCGAGACAAGAGCGAGGGACAACGAGAACAGAGCGGTAACGAGAAACACCGTCTAGGTTCAGCCCTGAAATCCAGTGACTCAACCATTGCCCTCCCTCGCGTCCTTTCGCGACGCGAAAGGCGTTCGGTGCACATTCCTCACGGCGCCCGTGGGCCCGCCACAGTGGGCAGGCATCCGCCGTGATTGGCTTCAGCAGGGGAATGGCTGGCGATGCCCTCCATATCCTCCGGTGCGGCGCGCTCAGAGTGTGAAGAAGCCCAGCCCTGGCAGCAGCCGCACTGATCTGTCCTGCCCAGTTTGAATACAGGTGTGCCTCTTCTTCGTGCGGCGATGGTGCGACGCTTCCTGTATGGGTTGAACGCATTTTGGTGCACCTCCCACTTGAGCCTTCACGGCCACGGACTTGATTTCGGTAGAGATGCCACTGCAGTGCATGCTCACAGCGGGCGCGACCTGCAACGTCCCCCGCCCGAAGCGCGATGGGCCAGCCAGCCTCGCCTTCCGCATCTTGGAGGCCTTGCGCAACAGCTCCGAGGGCTTTCCGACCTGGTGCCGCGAGCCGTCGCGCCGCCACACTCCGTCAGACCCCCTACAGGGCACTGGAGGGACAGGGTCGAGGACACCAGGACAGAGCAAGTCGCCATGACATTGGCAACTCCGGCCGAAGAGGAGGGACCATGGGCCGTGCCTCGACCCGCAGCTGCAGCCCTCTGGGGCCTGCCCCAGCCCCAGCCTGCCAGAGTTCCTGCTCACGGCCCCCCCCCCACGCTCCCGAAGACGAGGCGAGGGTGCTGCCCGCGGGGGGGCCACGCGTGGCGCCGAGCCCCTCCGAGCAGCCCCCCCAGCCGCCCCATGACGCGCCCGCACGGCGCGTGCTGCGATCCGGCGGAGCCGGGGGCAGGCGCAGACTGCTCGGGCGGCGAGCCGGCGGCTCGGCCGGGGCTGACACCAGGAGCCGCGGGGACCGGGGGCGACGCGGGCGGGGGTCGCGCCAGAGCGCCGGAGCCTGCAGGATCCTGCAGAGCCAGGGGCGCACCGGCCTGGGCTCGGGTGCCGGATTTCGCAGGGTCCTGCAGAGTCCTGCCAATGCCTGGCTGGCCCGGGGTCGGGATTGGCCCGGGTCCGTAGATCGATCCCCGATGACGGCTCGGCACGGCCAGGGCAGTCAGCTGCAGGCAGGTCTGACCTTCGGCCTGCCGTAGAGCAGGCGGTCGGAGGGGCACTTGTTGGGGGGGCCGCGGCCAGTCACGCTGTCAGCTCTCGCCCGCCGCGGCATCGCCTTCTTGGGAATGGGGCCGATGCGTTCTGAGGACTTCTTTGTGTTCGAGGGCCGTCCCCCTCCCCCCTCTTCCTCCTCCCTCCCCTCCTCCGCCCTTGCTTATCCTCCCCTCCTCCCCCACCTCCCCCTCCTTTCCTCCTTTCCTCCTTTCCCCCCCTCCTCCTCCTCCTCCTTCCGCACGCCTTTCCCAGCTCTTCTTCCGTCTCGCCTTGCTCCGTCGTCGCCCCTCCGAATCTCCGAATCTCCCTCCTGTCCTCGCCCTCCTCGCCCTCCTCGCCATCCTGACCCTCCTTGTTGTCACCTGCCTCTCCCTCCTTCTGCGCTCAGCGGCTTAGAGCCCAAACTCTCTCTCTCTCTCTCTCTGGAGCTGCCCCCTCCTCTTGGGGCTCAGTTCATTAAGAGCACTCCGAGGACAGCGTTGCCGCCCAATGCGCGACTATCCATGGCAGCAGGCGAGTTCGTCGAGATCTATGGAGACCAGCCTGGTGAATGGGATGCTGTGGCGAGCGCATTCTTCCTCGACACGGCTAAAAACATCTTCTTGTACATACGCGTCATCGCGTCCATGCTGAGGCCTGGCGGCCTCTTCATCAATATGGGGCCACTGCTGTTCCACTACTCTCACATGCCAAGTCAGGTATCGGTGGAGCTCAGCTGGGAGGAGCTGAGGCCGTTCATCTGCAGATATCCCAGAGGCTTGCGCAATTCCTCCGACCCATAGCCACAGCAGATCGGTTTCGTGATGATGCAAGCGGCCACAACGTCGTATCTGGGCCTTGTGGGAAGCCAGCTGGGGGGCTCTGGGACTATCTCGATAGTCTTCAAGGCGTTCTTTGGGGCCATTCGGCAGGTTTGTGTCTTGGAAGGCTGCAGAACCGCTCGGGTACGTCCTGGAGCAACCTTGGGTGCGACCCTGGGGCACTGGCGCCGTCTCGGGGCCGTTCGGAGGCCAGCCCCAAGGTGAGGGGTGGGCCTCTCGGGGTCGGCGGACTTCGACTTCGTCGAGGAGGAGGTGCGCGACGCGACGTACACCACGAACCCTGGCTCGCTGCACGCGGTGAAGTACAGGCGAGCCCTGGGCCGGCCCCGCGCGCCCGAGAGGCACATCTGCCCTCGTGCCCCTCGGCGGGGCTCGGGGCCGAGGAGACGCCTGGCACCGCTCGGACGTGCGCCATCTCTCCTCGGCGGGGCCTTCGCCAGAGAACACTGGCCATCCAAGAGCATCTTGGCTCATCTCGCGGGGCAGCAAACACACCACGCGCACGAGGCCGAAGCGTGCACGGGGAGAGGACGTCCGAGCGGTGGCCGGGGGGAGGAGGGCGAGCGAGTGGGAGACGAGGAGGCCAGTCGTTTGGGAGGCAGGGGCGGCACCTCAGCACATCGGACACGCGCACTTGTCTGTCACACGTGCTCTGCGCACGGCTTGATCCCGGGGCTTTGCCCTCTCTTGGCCCTGACGTGAGGCCCCTCTTTCTGTTTTCCTCCCTCTGTCAATGAAAGCTGTGCGCGGCCCGCTTAGCTTCGACCGGAAGAGGCTCGCTCTCGACCCGCGGATCAAAAAAGTTCTGCGCACGGCAGGCCCCCGTCGTGCCGACCATCGGCGACTCCGCCGCCGGCGTTCAGCGTTGAGCGCCGCCGGCGACCCAGAATCGGCCCTTCGATGAACGATGAGGCGTTGCGGAGACGGCCGATCGTTGAAGACTGAACGAGCCCCGCGGTGTCAGGAACCACCGCCTAGGTCGACACTGCACGAGCCCGCGGTGGGATGATGAGGAGGACGACTTTCAGCAAGGCCCGTCGCCCGGGAGGCAGGGACGGCACGTCAGCACATCGTGCACGCACGTTGGTTTGTCACGCGTGTGGCACGTACCGATGCAACAAATTATGGCGGCCAGCTTGCTGTCCTTCCCCCCCTCTCCTCCTCCTCCTCCTCCTCCTCCTCCTCCTCCTCCTCCTCCTCCTCCTCCTCCTCCTCCTCCTCCTGTTTGGCGGCCGTAGCATGCAGTCATTCTGGCGGCTGCGGTTGAAGCATTTCCGCAACGCGGAGTCGACTGCATGGATTTTGTTGTGCTGGGGGAGGGATGAAGCAACACAGCACAATGTTACAGCGGCCGCTCCCTTTTCGTCCGGTCTGCGGTGGCCATTGTTTGTCGTCTGACTTCAGCCCGATCGTGTCCGACGAGGATCGGTACCTCGACGACGACGACGACGACGACGACGACGACGACGACGACGACGACGACGACGACGACGACGATTGCGACAGCCTCTCGCGAGGGCGAGCGTGGGCAGAACGCTCGTGGGCCATCAGGGGGCCCCGATGGGGGCCATCCCTTGGGGCCACATGGTGGCACCTGAGGCCCATCTGCAGCCCCCCCAAATCGGCGAGTACCATGGGTGTGGTTACGCCAAGGTGCGGTTTGCGATCGGCGCCGTTAGGGCTACTTGTGCGCCTCAAAGGTTTGCCGAGTCCTCGTCGGGGCGCGGCACAGATCTCAGTCGAGGTTCTCGCCCGCCCGCCACAGGCGCGGATTGCGAACCACACCCTTTTCAAACCACGTTTTTTGGAGTCGCCTACAAAAGGCGAGAAAACCAGAAGAACAGCCACACTGAGCTTCGTTTAATTGTTACCGCCTCCGAGGGAGCGGAGAGAGGGGGGGGGGAAATTGCGTGTCCAACTAGGATGCGTCTTCGGGTTCCTTTGGCCGTTCTCTGAGGGCATATTTTGTATTATCGGGGGCTCATCGGGCCTCTTCAGGACCTCTCTTGACGCTCGCTTGTGGCTGTTGTCCACCACCACTGAGCCTAGTATCCAGAAGGACGCGTGGGCAGAAGAGTGCACGATTGGCAACTCTTCGCAGAAATGCATGGCACACCCCGCAGAGCGAATGCGTGCGCTGAGAGACTCGACTGCGAAGCAGAAAAGCGGAGCGCATCACGACTGTGAGGCAGAAGACAAGAGGAGACGGAGGAAGCGGAGAGAGGGGGAAGGAAGGGAGGAGGCAGACCACTGAGACCAGAACGTTGTTCAGAGGAAGTGCGTCGCCTTGTACACTTCCGATGCCCAATTGCTGCCGGGGCCGACCGCGACGACGATGGACCGCCCAGTTCGTCGGTGTACCTTCATTTTGACATAAGATTCTCCGCACCAGCGAGCGGTTCCCACTTGTTGAAATTCTTACATCCAATTTTACGCGTTTCGCGAGTAGGATGGCAGATAAATGTGTTTCGTGCGTTCTTTCCAAAACCTCCTGGTTATTCACTCTGGATATATACGGATGTGGTATACCAAGAATTTTCCGGTGCAGTGACAAGCATATAATATATTGCCGTCTGTTTTGAAAAGCCACAGCGGGTCGAAGGAGTATAAAAGCTTGCTAACCACGCAGCTAGAAAAAGTATGTAGTTTCCGGCGCTTCCCAATTGAAGTATGAGACCAAAATTTGTGCAATGAGTTGAATTTGTTCAAATTTTCGCCCAACCTTCGAGAGAGTTCGTTCCCGGCCTTGCCGTCGCAGGATAACAGGCCTCCCAGGTAAGCTGCCTCCCGCACCTTCTTGATGGGTTCGCCCGCGGGGCCCCTGATCTCCGCTTTAGAGGAAACAGTGATATGCAGAGTCTTGTCCCAATTCAGCTCCAACCGTACTTTGTCCTTCGGTGACGATCGCGTCCAACATGCGTTCCAGGTTGTGCGGGTACTGAGACACCAGGAGTGTGTCGTCGGCGTCAAGGACATCCCGGGTGACGACGTAGTCCGGCTCAGCTTGTAGAGCCAATCCGGCCATGGTGTCGTGAAGCATGACAGTCTGAACAGCAATGAACAGGTATGGGCTCAGTGGGCAGCCTTGGGCAATCCCTGCATAGTGTTTCCTCTCGGTTGATTTTCCACAGTAGCGCTCTGCGCAGATGCCCCGCACCATGTTTACGATTTGTTCTGGCAGGCCGACTCTTGGAAGATTCGGTCGCCTCCGTGTAGGCTATATCTGATCATCTGGAGCCATCTTAGATTTTGCCTCCCTCCTCCCTCTCGCCGCCTCGAGCTGCGTGTTTCACTGGAGCAGGAGAGAGAGAGAGAGAGATAGGGATCTATATGCTTAGTGAAAGGGAGAGAGACATATAGAGAGCGCGCGAGAGAGAGAGAGACACACACATATATCTACAAACGCGAACATTATTATATAACGAAAGAGAGGGAGAAAGAGAGAGAGAGAGAGAGAACGAGAGAGAGAGAGAGGCAGAGAGAACGAGAGAGAAAGAGAGAGAGATAGAGACAGAGAGAGAGAGAGAAAGAAAGGTAAATATAGGGAGAACAACATTATACCTATATGAAGACGGAGCGAGGGAATGGTGCGAGGATCGCGCGCGTGATATTCAGAGGGAGGGAGAGGCATGGATAGAGATTTGTACACGTGTACCTGTATGTACATGAAAACATGCACGTACATCTATAGACGTTTGTACATGCGTGTGCATGTGAGTCATACGTCCGTACATGCTTGTCTATTTATGCGCGTATATGTATATCGGAGGTGAGGGGGTGAGATCGAAGTGGAACGGAGAGCCCCCCTACCGGAAAATCGATTTCGGTTTCGTGTTCGTGCGTGCCGTGCGTGCGGGCGAGGCGAAGCTGCGTGGGCGGGCGAGAGAAAGTCTCCTGTGGCTGAGGCGCGGCCGGACCAAATGTGTCTCTTCCGGGCGGCCGTGGCGCGCGGTGTCCCGCCGGTGTCCCGCTGGTGTCCCGTCGGTGTCCCTGTGGCTGAGGCGCGGCCGGACCAAATGTGTCTCTTCCGGGCGGCCGGTGTCGCGCGGTGTCCCGCCGGTGTCCCGCCGGTGTCCCGTCGGTGTCCCGTCGGTGTCCCGATGATGATGTTGATGATGATTATGATGATGATGGTGATGGTGATGATGATGATCGTGATGATGATGATGTTGATGATGGCGATGATGATGATGATGATGATGATGATGATGATGGTGATGGTGATGATGATGATCGTGATGATGATGATGTTGATGATGGCGATGATGATGATGATGATGATGATGATGATGATGATGATGATGATGATGATGATGTTGATGTTGATGATGTTGATGATGATGATGATGACGTCGATTGTGCGATCGATTGTGATATCGACAGTGAGACCGAATGTGAGACCGAATGTGAGATCGATTGTGAGATCGATTGTGAGATCGATAGCGAGATCGATAGTGATATCGATTGTGATATCGAAAGTGAGATCGAAAGTGAGATCGATTGTGAGATCGATAGCGAGATCGATTGAGTGAGACGTTGGTTCCCCCTCCCCCCTCACCTCCTTATCACCCGCAGGGTGGTCGTATAGGTATGTGTATGTGTGCAGATGCACATATCGAGGGGGAGAGGGATATAGCAATACAGCGATAGAGAGAGAGAGAGAGAGTGAGAGGCAGAACTGCGGTCCCTGGCGCTCTCTTGAGGGCAGTGGGCGCCGTCTTGGGTGGAGGGCGCCTTGAGACCTCTTGGAGGCGTCCTGGAAAGTAGAGACGAGGGGGATGGGCAGCACGCCGCGACGTCGCGGGAGAGGAGGGCCGCGGTACCACGGAGGGGATGGGAAGAAGAGAGAGAGGTAGCCCGAGGTGCAAATACTTCGTCGCCAAGCGCAACACGGAGCCCGTGACGGGCAAGTCGAATCCGGTGTACTGAGCAGGCAGGCGGTCCGTGGCCGCTGCTCCGCCGCATGAGGCATGCGGCGCCATCGTGCGGTTGTGCTCTGGTGCGCGAGGCTTTTGGCAAATATGCGCTTGTCTGTGATGCTTGGTCCAAGGGCTCCCACGAGGGCGCGAAGTTATTCGCGCTTCGCGCTTCGCGGTCCTCGTTCCTTCTCCCCCTCCTCCTCGTCCTCCTTTTCTCCCTTTTGGGTGGCGGCGCGAGAGCGCGAAGTTATTCGCGCTTCGCGCCTCGCGCAGCGCGAAGCGCGAAGTTGGGAGCCCTAGTTGGTCTGGCCGATCATGCCTCAGCTGACCAGCCTGGACACATATCCCTGTTCCTATGCTGGGCACCTCCTCATCACGACGCCAATCTCAGGGGTGCCCTTATTCTTTGAGGGCGAGTCCCTGAGATTGTCATCGCCTTTTGGCGTGTCAATCTTAGGGATAGGGACACGTTCGAGGCTGGTAATCAGCTGCTCGTCCTGCCGTGGCGGCTTGCCATCCTGTGCATGTCTCCTCCTCCCCCCCTTCCGTCTCCTCCCCCTCCTCGTCGGACTGCGGCCTCTGGGACGCAGCCGATCGTGGCGCCTGGATTGCATCCTCCTCCGCCCTCCTCCCTCCCGCCCGCCTCCGCCCCGCCAGGGAAGCGTGGGAAGGGGCAGGGCCCGCTGACTGGCTCCACCCGGCTCGCTTAACTCTCCCCCTCGTCTTCTCCTCCATCCCTTCTCCTTGTGAGTATCTCCTCCCTGTCGTGCCCCGAGGGTGTCGGCAGTGCGGGCTTGGTGTTTCGAGTCAGACTTTCTCATCATGTACGGTCCATCTTCCGAACGTTTGGGGCAGTTTCATGGATGGAGGGCGGGCCGTTTTCAACATGCTGTTCTCGCCTCAGCGCCACGCATACTCGGTTCAAGAGTTTGCAAGAATTGCACGAATGGGGAGCGGCCGTTTACAACATGTGACGCTCGCCTCTGCGCCGCAAGCAGTCGTTGTAAACATTGCAGGAGTTTCACGGAAGTTTGGCGGTACCTTTTCAAATGTTGATTCGCGTCGCAGCGCCACACACATTCGTCTTAATAGTTTACGATATTTGGAAGGGTTATTTTGGTTGACGTTCCAGAAATGGTGTTTAGCCCCGGTGTAGGACTGTCAGGCCGCACCAGCTACGTTGATTTGCAGTATTGAAGCCCCAGAGATGGTGTTTTGGCATGGTTTCGGACCGTCAGGACTCAACAGTGCGTTGGTTAGCCGCGATGGAGTCCCAGGGATGGTATTCTGGCACGGTTCAAGATTTTCAGACGGTTGATTTCCAACAGGGTCTTCCGTCACTGAAAATGAATCATTGTAGGGACTTGTGACACAGAGGGTGTTGAGAGGGAGGGCTTATTTGTAACATCGTTGATGAGTCTTGGGTCCACATTGGTCCTAATCCTCCTCCTCCTCTTCCTCCTCGTCGCCCTCCTCCTCCGTAGCCATTTTGGCTCAAGCGAGCCAGGCGTCGGGAGGCCCATGCTCGGTGGCGCGCGCCCTGCTGCGCGCAGGTGTGAGCGCATGCGGCCGATGGCGGATTCTGAGTCCGACAGCAAGAGGCGCTGGGCGGCAGCTTCGGCGCGGACGCTGGCGCGGCGGCGGCGCCGTGAGAGGCGTGCTGAGGTTGTCGCTTCGAGGGCGCAGGCGCCAGGACGGCGCGTCGACGTGTTCAGGAAGACGCTGGGGGCCCACTGGGCAGTGGGCGACGCGATCGGGGGCCACGAGGCCTCCATCATGGCGGCGGCGAGCGCGGCCAAACTCCTGGGCCTGAGCGAGCTTGCGGCGGAGGCCGAGGAGCTCGGGATAGGGGCCAACTGGGCTCGGCATGCCGCTCCGCCAGCCCTGGCGAAGATGCGGCAGACGCCCTCCGGGATCAAGGCGTCGCTGCTCGAGGAGTTTCGCGGGCAGCTGCGTGCCCCCGTGGTGGCGGAGGAGCTGGCAGTCGATCTGCTGCTCACAGGCCTCGGGGTGCACAGAGAAGGCGCTGACGGTGATGCGAAGGCCTACTGGACGGAAGCCGACGGGAAGGAGCAGGAGTCGGCCCGGCTACTGCAGCCGTTGGACTTCTTGCACGTGGAAGGATACGGCATGGCCGTTGTGGACGTGAGCGCGGGCATCTCCGAGGAGGGCGAGAACGACGTGAGCGATGTGAAGGAGTCCGGCCTCCTTGTGGAGCCGAACGAGTTCCCCGAGGAGGCGGAGGAATGAGCAGGAGTCAGGCTGCCGGCTGGAGCCGTTAGACCTCGCGTCGACGGCTACGACAAGGCCGTTCATTGGAGACGATATACACTTCGACATGCCCGACCTTTTCAATGGAGATGTGGACCCTGGCGCTGACGAGGAGTTCCTTGCTGAGCCTGAGGCGCCCCAGCAAGACGCAGAGGTTTGTTTTTTTGGTGGAGTGCACGTGGCCATGCGGAGGGCTCGGGCCGATTTTCTAGGAGTTCAAGCACGGTGACTGGCAGAGGCGCAAGGGCTGGGGCAGCATGGGTTATTCGTTGGATTGGCGGTGGGTCGAATCACTCACCTTGAAAGGCGAGGCACAGATCGAGATTCTGAAGGCGGGCTTCGAAAAGGCAATTCGGTACGCCGTGGCTTCATGGCTGTCAGGTCGCCCAGGTCCGCCGCTCGATTCGCCACCTCGATGCTGCGAAAGATCTGGCGCCCAGAGCTGGGTGGCCGTAGTGGACAGGGACCCCGAGAGCGGCTTCCTCGCGCAGTGGACGGCGTGCGAGGGCGCCGCGAACTCGTGCGGCTGAGCGGGCCGTGCCGAGAGGGGCGTGCGAAGCCCTGCGGGGCTAAGCCGCGGCCCATCCCCCAGTCTCTAGCCGTCGGCAGGGACGAGGCGGGGGATGGGCCGCGCACTCGGAGGTTCCACGGCTCTTCCCAGTTGGAGCCCCTTCAGGAGCGGCGGCGCGGTGCGGCGTGGGACCGCTGCGGGACCTCTCTCTTTCTCTCTCCCTCTTTTTTTTTTTTTCTCTCTCTCTCTCTCTCTTTCTCTCTCTCTCTATCTCTCTCTCTCTCTCTCTCTCTCTCTCCCTCCTCTTTCTCATTACGTAGAGGCGTCCGATCCGATCCTCCTCCTCCTCCTCCTCCTCCTCGTCCTCCTCCTCCCCCTCCTCATCCCTGGCTCGGGCTAACAGGCTTCGCCCACCCCAGGCTGCCTTCTCATCGAGGAGTTTTCGCGGAATGTCTGGTCTGACCTGACTTCTTCCTCCTCCCCCTTCCTTCTTATCCGTCGCTTCTCCTCCTCATCTTGCTCCTGCTCCTCACCCTCGTCATCGCCATCCCTTGGCCCTCCCCCTTTTCCTTCCCTCTCTCCTCCCCCCTCTCTCCCCCCTCCCCCCTTCGATGGAGTTGCGTCGTGCCAAGCGTCGCCGCAAGGCCCAACCGCCTTTTGAAAAACAGGGCTGATGGGCAGCAGCAACCTGGAGTATTTTTCGGGGGTTGGAGGTTCTCGAGAGGCTCTGGTCTGAGTTCCCTAAGCCCAACGCCCTCCCGCTCCCTTTGCCCCTCACCCTCCCCTCTCCCCCTCCTCCTCCTCCTCTTCCTCCTCCTCCTCCGTAGCCATTTTGGCTCAAGCCATTTTGGCTCAAGGGAGGTTCCGCTTCGAGGCATCTCTCCAAACCAGTCCAGTCCATTTCAGGGGATCCCGATTCCGACAGAAGGTGCCTGTCGGTCCAAGCCCCTTTCCAAGCAGTTTCGAAACCATGGTGCCGAGCCCTGCAGTGCTGCGCGGGCCGCGCAAGCCGCACTGGGGCTGCAGACACTGTGGCCGCGCGGCCAACTGGGCGAGCCGAATCACATGCTTGTGCGGCGCCAGCGCGCCGATGCGGGTTGTGGCCGCCGCTCGCGAGGCAGACAAAGCAGCAGCAGCAGGCGCTCCGTCCAAGAGAGTTGGCGGCTCAGGTCTTCGCCCATCGCCAGCCCCTTGGAGCGCCGAGTTCAAGTGCATTCAGCAGATGGAGCAGCGCCTCAAGGCCACAGAGGCAGAGCTTCGCAAAGTCAAGAGTGGCAACAGTGACGAGTCACAAGAAGAAGCAGCTGCCGCTCAGGACCCAGCTCAGGCTAAGCGTGCCAAGTTTCTCAAGCAGATCGAGGTGTACGAGAAGGTCGGCAGGGGCACTGCCGAGTTCGGCGGCGCCGTGCACGACGCGAACAAGGCTGCGCTCGAAGATCTTCGGGCTCAGGCTAAAGCGCTGCGGCCTCCCGCCACGGCGCACAAGACAGCGATGCAGAAGCTCGAGAAGTCCAAGCAGCAGCTGGTCAGGCAGCAGAGCGACCTGGAAGAGCTGCAGCGCAAGATGGCACAGCTACAACAAGATATTTCAGGGAAAGAGAGCGCGATCATCGCCAAGACGTCCGAGGTCAAGATACTGCAGCAGGAGGTCGCCGAGAGCGCAGCCAAGCTCAACCCGCATCAGCCCTCGACCAATGTCAAGGACGAGGCGCTCGACGAGGAGACGATCGAGCTGGATACGGAGAGCGATGAGGTCAAAGCCGCCCCAGAGCTCGTGGAGTTCTATGCCAAGTTCTCGGCCGACCCTGTTTTCACCAAGTACCAGCAGCTCATTCGAGAGAAGTTCAAGAAGAAGGATGCGGCCATGCCGCAGGCGGAGCAGCAGCGATCTCCACCAGCAGCGGGCACCGACGCCAACAACAAGCGTGGCACCGACGATGAGCTCAACCTGCAGGAAGCTCAAGAAGTGTGGAACGACTTGCAGAGTGACGCAGCCCAAGGTGACGAGGCCAACAAGCTGCTCGAGCTCATCAACCAGCTCCACAAAGCCAAGAGGAGTCGCACTCGCAGCCCTGATCATGGCGCTCCAGGTCAGTGCGCGACTGGCCCCTAACACTTTCATTGCTACCCTCCAAGGTCAATGGCTCGACGCATGAGGAGATAGCACGCGCAGTTCCAGTACTGGGCCGACTTCGATGAGCTCGGCTTCGTCAGTTCAGATTCTTGCAGCCGCCGCAATTGGTGGAAGTATTGCAGCTGATGGGAGTGGTCAGTCTGATATTGGATGCAGGCCACATGCCAACGATCCCATCGCTGGCGTTCCCTGGATCTTGGGGGTCCCTGGGCAGTCCGTGTCGACGGACTCGTCGCCGCAGTCGTTGGAAGCAGCTCATGCAAACTGGCAATCTGGCGCGCAGCATTCGTCCAACGCCAGCCAAGTTCAGCTTCCAAGAGTGAGCAGCCTCAGAGCATGTGGTGGTCGCAGTCAGGCTCCAGCTACTCCCGAGAGCGCTCTCCAGGTGCATTTGATCGAGACCTTCAACGCCAGCCAGGGGCGCAATACGTTAAATAAGCTAGTCAAAGCAAGCAAGGCCAAGATCATCCTGGCCCAAGATATCGGCTACTTCACACATGACGTGGAGGAGCTCTACAGCTTCGCCGCAAAGATGGGTTGGTCAGTCATCGCTCTACCAGGAGCTCCCACAGCAGGTCACCTTCCTACGGCAGGCGTCGCTGGTTTTGCTCGCAATGGGATTGGTCTGCGCTGGCCACCTGCAGCTAAAACGTCGGAGATAGTTGCACATAGAGCGCAGCACATTCAAGTGGACGTCCCAGGCTGGCCGACCCTCAGTATATTAACATCTACCTCCACACGTGCGAGGGCATGACAGTTAGGAATGCGACCATTCCCGCCAGAGTTGGAGAAGAAATGGCTGGGCTCACATCCAGCACTCATTGGAGGTGACTGGAACATGAGCACGGTTGTCGTTGAGGAGTCGACCTTTCCACTACATGCGCATGCGGAGATCAACGCTCCGAAAGAGGTCACCTGCCGCGCTCCAACTTCAGCATCTACGATCGACTACTTCGCGCTGAGCGAGGCCGCCATGCTTCTTTTTCGCACCGTCACGGTGGACGCCGAGTGGCACATCAAGCCGCACAGACCAGTTCACCTGCACATGGCGGCAGTTGGCAAGTCCTTTCAAGTCTTGACCTACGGCGCGGCGCCGAAGTTGTCACCAGTCATCCCTGAAGGCCCTCACTTGCCAGATGATCCCTGGAGTCGGGCTGCCAGGTTTGCTGACGAGGCGTTGGTTATAGCTAAAGAAGCACGACCAGATGCAGCTTGGGGTCTTCTAACGTTGGCATGGGGTCAGTTCGCTGAGCAAGCTGCCCGCCGTATTGCTCATATTACTGGCACAGAGGTCAAATATTACGGTGCATACTCCAAATTTCTACAGCCAAGATGGGTGGACATCCACTATGAGCTGAAGGACGCTCCTGGTATCCAAGCGCGTGCAGACGGATGGAAATGGATTTCTGATCTGATGACAACAATTGCTCAACTGCGTGAAAGCCGTCAGCCCGAGGAGATTAACAAGTTGCAGGACGAGATTCTCATCCTGCAGTCATCCGCTTACCCTGGGCAAGGCCTGAACCGCAGGTTGGGCGCCAGCGTCGAGCAAGCACGTCGAGTCGTCAGCGGTCACTTTCATGCAGACGCCATACGTGAGTTGCAAGACGAATGGCAGGATGATGTTGACCAAGCTTTTCAGGGAGCCGGCAGAGACAGTAACGCGAGATGGAAAGATTGGTGTCGTCAAGCCAGCGCTGGAGGACTTCGGGGCCTTCACAGACTGACGCAAGTTCGACAAGTACAGGCTCCCACCACAGTTATAACTGGCGCTGGGAAGTATTCAGCTCATCCTCATGATGTTGCTGCTGCCATGGAAGCTGAATACACATCGATATGGCGAAGCTCCACAGAGGCCCCTAGAGCTTGGATCCCCGACAGAAGCTCTCATCGGCGAGTGGAACCTGAAGATATCCGCAGGGCCGCTCGCACCTTTCCAAGCACCACGTCAGCGGGCCTCGACGGACTTCATCCTCGACACTTGTTGCATCTTAGTGACGATGCATTGCGAGTGCTAGCAGTTCTGTACGAAGCCATGGAATCACTTGGGATGCTTCCCAAGCAATTGGCATGGATTATCATGCCTATGTTGCCAAAGCCTCAGGGAGGCCACCGTCTCATTATCTTGTACGCGTCGGCTTACCGCGCTCGGCAAAGGATGAGAAGATGCGAATATGATGAGTTGATGAAGGTGTTGGACAGGAAATACTGGGGCGCTGGCAAAGGCCGTAGTCCAATCGACAGCGCATGGAAGCTAGCAGTTCGCACAGAAGCCAGCACAGCCTCAGATCGGTTTCCTGTCACGCTCATAGCAGATTATTCGAAGTATTACGAGAACATCGAGTTGAAGCAGCTGCGGCAGAAGTTTATTCGTTTCGGTGCGGCCACGGCATCAGTCAAGCTCACCTACAACACCTGGCGTGCGCCAAGACTGATCCGACTGCTGCAGCATCACGGCAATCAACCTGGACATGCAGAGTACGGTATTCCTGCTGGCTGTGGGGTGGCTGACATAGCCATCAAAGTGCACGCAGTCGAGCAGTGCGATTATTATGTGGCGCTCCATCCCTTAGTCGACTTCGCCAGCTATATAGACGACTCGAGCATCGGAGTCGAAAGTGCTGACAGGTCCTCAGTCATCTCCCTCGCGGTCGAAGCTGGCAAAGGTTTCTTGGATACGGCCGCTGCACTTGGAGCCACAATCAATGAGAAGTTCGCAGTCCTCGCCAACACGAGAGAACTGGCCGAGGAAGTTGCTATCAAGATGGTTTTTTCGGCAGAAGGCTGTCACATCGACCGCATATCTTGGCACGGATCAGGCAGCAGGCAGAGTTCGTGTGGCACCGAGAACCCGAGTGAAGATGTCCAAGCGCATGGCCAAGCACCGTCTGCGCCTTCTCAAGCTGAGACTGTACAAGAGGGCCTTGCCTGAGCTTAAAGAGCAAAGGATTGGCAAAGTGTTTCGCGCTGGCGCCAGGCCAGCGTTAACTTACGGAGTGGAGATATTTGGGCTTGACAACGCCGAGTTATTGCAGCTGCGGCGTGATTACTGCAGGCAGGTCAAACC